AACCAGAACCCAAACCCTGACCCATACCCATACCCTAACCCTCGTGGGGCTGGGGATGATTGAGAAGGCAACATGGGAGAGATATTTTGTGGTGATGGAAATATTCATTATCTTCATTGTGGTTATATTTGTTAGATATTAAACCCGTGCCCTTAAGTCTAATTTATTTATGTAGATTATACTTCAAACAAGTTCTTTTTTTAAAACAGAGCAGAATTGACAGCCCAGAAACCTGTGCCCTGTGGATTCTGACAATTTACACCACACAAATATGTATTCAAAACAGATCAAAGACCTATATTTCAGACCTAAAACTAGAAAACCATTAGAAGAAAGCATAGGAAAGATATTCATGACCTAGGTTTGGGCAGCTTTCTTAAATGTGACACCAAAAGCATACCAAGCAATAGAAAAATAGGTGGACCTTCATCAAAATTTAATACTTTGGTAAGAAGGACACTATAAGAGATTTTAAAAACAATGGAAAGAAGACTGCTGACCTGGCTCAGTGGGTGGAGCCTGACTCTTGATCTCGGGGTTGTGAGTTTGAGCCTCAGGTTGGATGCAGAAATTTCTTAAAAATAAAATCGTTAAAAAAAAACCCAAAGAGTGAGAGACAAATCTTTGGACATAATGCATCCAATACGGCAGATACAGCACATATCCAGAATATAAAACGAACTCCTGGGGCGCCTGGAGCACTCAGTCAGTGAAGCATCTGCCTTCACCTCAGGTCATGATCCCGGGGTGGTGCACAATTATTCAGCCACACGGGGTGACGAGGGGTTATGTGCTATAGACCACGGACGTGGTGCACAATTATTCAGCCACATGGGGTAATAAGGGGGGTACATACTATAAACCATGGATACGATGCACAGGGTGCACACAGGCTGATCATCCACACATCAACCACACAGGGTGATGAGGGCCAGTACATCCCATATAACATGAGCACAGCTGAAAACCACTATACTCACTGAATGAAGCCAGATGCAAGATTACATACTTTGTGTGATTACATTGACCTGAAGTATCTGAAAGAAGCTACTTCCTAGACAGCCAAAGGACACCAGTGGTGGACAAGGGCTGGGGAAAGAGCACTTGCAGTTACTGCTTAATGGGGACACTTTTCTTTGGGGCACTGAGAAAGCTCTGCAAAAATGGTGAGGGATACAAAGCACTCTAAACATAGTCAATGCCACAAAATCATACACTTAAAATGGATAAAGTTGCCATTTATTGTCAATGACATAAAACAAAACAGTGATGGCAGTTATTAATTTCACAAAAGAATTCAAAGGAAAAAGGCATTAAGATTTAGATTTTATAAAAGTAATGACTTTCAAACATAATTTCACAGTTTTATATGCAGCTGCCAACCCAATATCTCCACTTTGGTGTCTGGCAGATGCCTCCAACTCAACCATTTCCAAAGTCATGATTTTCAGCCTCAACTCTGTTCCTCTCCATGCCTTCCTCCGTGTAGACACCTCTCATTCCCGCTTCTCAGGATCAAACTTTGGCATCATTCTCACCAACTCCTGACCAAGTCTGAAGAAAAAGAAAGCTTATTGGCCCTGGGTGGCTCACTCATAAAGCATCTGCCTTCGGCTCGGGTCATGATCCCAGGGTCCTGGGATCGAGCCCCACATCGGGCTCCCTACTTGGCGGGAAGCCTGCTTCTCCCTCTCCCGCTCCCCCTGCTTGTGTTCCCTCTCTCACTGTGTCTCTTTCTGTCATATAAATAAATAAAATCTTTAAAAAAAAAACCTGATTTTATTGTTGAAACAGATCTAGAACCACATGTCTACGAACACTTGGTGTAGCCCAGTATCCCCACTGGTGCACACAGAAGAAAAGAAAAATCGTGTTTAATCAATTCACTGTGTGCATGTACTAAAACGACGAATACAAATAAATTCCTAGTAAACTATTTCTCTGTGAAAAGTAAAACAAGCTAGGGGATACGAGGAGAAAACAAGCTAGGGGATACCAGGAGATGCCAGCTTCACGATGTCAAGGGGGGCAAAGATCTGAGTGCAGGTATTTTGTGTGCTACTACGTGGCCTGCCCCATAGTACACGCCCAGTAAATACATACAGAGGAATAGAAACGACAGTTTTAACACCATCTGAAGGAGCACATACACGCACAAGTACTTGTATCCTTGTGAAGACACCATGTTCCTCATCGTTAGATTCCGTTTCATATAAACGTCACTTCTGAAATTAGACAAACGCAATCCTAACAAAAAACACATTCATACTTATTTTTGGAATGCATACATTTCACATAGGAAAACGACGAAGAATACTTAGCAAACACCTGAAGGACATCTCACGCGAGCTCCTGCGGGAGCGCAGGTGCACGAGCACAGAGGAGCCGCTCGCCTGCCCTCCCGCGCACGTTCCCGCGGCAGCGCAGGTGCACGAGAACAGATGAGCCGCGCGCCTGCCCTCCCGCGCGAGCTGCCGCGGGAGCGCACGTGCACGAGCACAGATGAGCCGCGCACCTGCCCTCCCGCGCACGTTCCCGCGGCAGCGCAGGTGCACGAGCACAGATGAGCCGCGCGCCTGCCCTCCCGCGCACGTTCCCGCGGCAGCGCA